AGATAGATGTTAGCTAGGTATTGAGCCTAGAAATAGAACAACAAAGAATGGTTGTTATTAATGGTAGCGGCCACTACTTCTCCCTCTGTTCAACTTTCAACAATATTTATTGATTATCTCTCTGTGGCAAGAATATAGCAAAGTCCTAGGAATACTGAACAGACAAAATCTCTGTTCTTAAGAGGTTTATGCTTCTTCCTTTGAATATCACAGTAATCAAAATTCCACCCCCTATTACTGCACTGAAACTCCTCCAGCAAAGGCACATTGCCCTATCTCTCAAATATCAGGGGCTCTTTTTGGTCCTCAATAAGACCTTTGTGTAGCATCTAATAATATTGAGCAATTATCTTCTTGATGTTTAGAATATGCCTCTCTCTCTCCTGATTTCCTTCTACTCTCTGACTGAAACCTTTCAGCCTCTTGCTAGTTTTTCTTCTTCTGTTACCCCTTTAATATTTCCTAGAGTTCTGACTTTTTCTTTTATGCCTTCCACTAGTGGCTCTTGATCTTTTCAGAGGCATGGACTCCTTTAAAGACCCAAAAAAGCTCTGTACTCTCTCACTAGGAGAAAAAGAAAATAGACTTATTTATAAATACACATATATTTTTAGGAGTTTCTTCTCTCCCCACAAAGCGCATCACTGTACTCCAGTTTAAGGGGTTTCTACAGCTTTAACTATTACCCACATGTTAATGACTCTCAAGTCTCTGTCTCCCACATAAACCACTTTCCTGAGCAACGGGCCTTCTTTCAAATGACTTATTGGACTATTCCACACGAATTCCCTTCAGGCATCTTAAATTCAAAATATTCCAAATCAAACTTTTTATGTTTCTCCTTATATCTGTTTTCCTTTTGGAAGGCAGTATCCTATGAGAAAAAGAATACTATTTTTGAACCAAACAAACCTAGATTTAAATCCAGCCCTAGAAGCTTCAATAATATATTTACTTCTTTGTGCTTTCATTTCTTCATTTATAACATGAAGATAATAATACCTCTATTTTCTGCATTTTATTAGGATTAAAATAGATAATGAAAAAGTGCCTGCCATGTAGCACTATATATTTCAGAAATATTAATATTTCTGGACTCCCAATCTTGGTAAAAGCAACTCCATTCACTAAGTATCCTGAGCCAAAAATTTAGGTATCATCTTCAACTTGTCCCCTTTTCCTCATCTGAAACCAAAGGAAGCCACGTCACATTGATTGTTCAGCTCTCCCCTGCCCTTGGTTCAGGCTCTTTTTTTCTTCCTTATGGATACAACCTATCTGGTTAATCCAGTTGTAGTCCTACACACTTCCAATCAATTCTCTTCACTGCAGCCAGAGGATCTTCCCAAGACACAAATCTGATAATGTCATGACTACTTACATTTGCCCACTTGCTTCTCATTGCTTCCAGGATTACATCTGCCTTAGTATTACACTGAAGACTGACTATGATCTGGTCCTTATTGACCTGCAACTCAATCCCTTGAACTAGTTGTGGATTTCCCAAACTGCCCATAGTGTTTTGAATTCTATACCTCTATCTACTCTGCTTCCTTTGCCTGAAATGTCTTGATCCCTCGACCATTCTTTTGGTCAAGGGATGACATACATGAAGCCTCTTGCAAGATTCCAGACTCATGCTCTTGGACTTTCCGGCCCCCAGAACCATGAGCCAAATAAATTTCTTTTCTTTATAAATTGTTTAGTCTGTGGGATTCTTTTATAGCAACATAAAACAGATTAAGACAATGACCCAACAAGAAATATCAGATTCAAGAATCCAACCAGGGCTGTGTGGTGCTAATCTGTACCTGTACACTACCTTTACAGAAAAGCACCAGAGGTGGTAGAGGTCTTCGGATTGGTAGCTCTTGTACACATTTAGCGTAGAAAGACAATCTATAATTTTCTCCTCAAATTTAAATTTCTCTCCAACTCTACAATTTTATTTCATGTCATTAATGCTTGCAATGTAATGGCCCCAAATCACCAACTTCTTTGGAGTTTTGGAGCTTTTCTGCACTCTCCATCCCTAAAGGACTTGACACTCACAGACTTTGACTAGGGACCAGAAGTCACAACAGAGAAAGAGCTCCCATCACTTCCTTGTTTGTCTTGCCTTACATCTAGTGTTTTCTCTGAGAAAACACATGGTTGTCTTTCAATTTCAAATCTTAGCTTGTGTCTGATGGCTTTAGTCATTGGCCCATCTTTGGAGCAAGAAATTTCCAGCATTAAAAAGCACCAATTAAAAAAAAAGACAACCTGAGGTAAAAATGTTTGTCTTCCATCCCACTACTGACCAGCTGTCTCCCACTATGGGCAGAAAAAGAGGAAATAAATGTGTAACATGCATAGTCTGTAGCAGGGACAATTTCCTGAGAATGAGGGTTTTTGGGACATCAGATGATGTTTCCTAGGAAAGTTACAGACTCTCCTTCCCTGGATATCTTTAACTATGACATTCCAAGATATTCTCCTTTATATGTGATTGAGTATCCATTCATTTGAACAGCTGCAGAGGTGTCAGATAGCCTGTAATTTGTGAAGCCTATTAACTTAGACATCAGTAATTGGGCAGGGGTGGAATGAAGTTTACTCTATGTTACCAACACAGAAGAGCATTTGTTAAATTAATTGTATATATGATTATGGTAAAAATGCTCAAATTATCCAGCAGAACTCTTTTCAAATATCTTATAAAAATAGAATTGACAGCAATTGTGCTCCCAGGTATTTACTCACTTGATTTGAAAACATATCCACAGAAAACCTGCACGCAAATCCTTACAGCAGCTTTATTCACAATTATTAAAAACTGAAAGAAACCAAATGTTCTTTAACAGGTAAAAGTATAAAAAGTGGTACATACATACATTAGTATACTATTGATGGATAAAAAAGACAAGAATGAGCTATCAAGCCACACAAAAACATAGATGAATCATAAATGCATATTGCTATGTGTAAGAAACCAGTCTGAAAGTGCTACATATTGTATGATTCCATTTCTATGACATTCTAGAAAAGTCCAAACTAGAGATGGTAAACAGATCAGTGGTTGTTAAGGGAATGGGAGGTGGGAGGGTTTAATAGATGAAACACGGGGGATTTTTTTTTTTAAAGTGGTAACACCATTTTGTGTGACACTGTAATGGTGGATACATAACACTATGTATGGGTTTGTCAAAACCCATAGAACGCAGATTATGGCAAAAGATTCCAACTGTATTATTAGTATATAAAATAACCTCATTGAGGCAGGGGTGTGGGGAAGGTTGTTGGCCTGAACAACTTTGGAAATGAGTGGAATGTATAAGACTAAAAGCAAAAGAACTATACATAAGCTAGTTCTATGTTACTCTAGTTGGTAAATCTGTTTCCCTCAGACAGACCTGATAACAATTCTGAAACCAGAATACATGTACATTGAATATGGGTTAGCAGTTCTGAATCCACTATACATGTATGCTGGAATTGAACAGTTAAGTAAATGGATGTCACATGGTGAGAGCCAAGTGTCTCACACTAGAGTGGAGGGTTACAAACATGCAAGGGGAGAAACCTAGAATGATCCATGTGATGATGGATTAGAGCTGGAGATATCAGTCCTCTTTAGCCACCATACATACATATAGAAATATTTACAGATATGTGTACTTACTCAGGTTAGTATACACACATACATTTCCCTGCTCTGTCAGTGGAGACGGCCTAGAAGCAACAATACTGTAAATGTCCAAGTCTTCATTTCTAATATCATTTTCCATTAAAAGGACCCATGGCTCCTTGGAGAAGTGGCTGATCCTAGGACTGGGGAAGGGAATATACAAGATGAGCCTGGGTATACTCAAGGGGAAAAAAACAAACAAACAATGAGGGTGTATAAAAAAGACATAGTGCCAACTAAAAGAAATCCCAATAGCCAAACCTGGAACAACTTGAACAACAAAATAAAGTAGCATTGGATTATAACTCGAAATATAAAATAAATATCTAAGTGTCCATACTGATATTAATAAATTATTGAATAAATAAATAGGGGAGAACAGATAAATCTTCCATGCCCAATAATTCCAAATAATTTATGAAGATATTATGCCTTCACAGAAGTGGAGCATAACTTCCTATTCCTATAGTTTGAGCTGCACCTAGTGATATCCTTAGTACAGTATGGAAAGGGAAAGAAAAAGTAACTTTACAGTGAAGAAACCTGACGAACACTACCTTAACAAAATGATAAAGGTAGCATCAGCAGTGATAAGTCATGTTGTATGTACTCTTGATATGACGTGATGAGAGGGCACTTTACCTCTTTACTAAAAAAAAAAAAAAAAAATCCCATAACCCCAGTCGATGCATGAGAAAAACATCAGGCAAACCCCAATGGAAGGACATCCGACAAAACGCCTGATGAGTATGCCTGAAAATTATTAAGGTCATCAAAAGCAAGGAAAGTCTAGGAAGCTGTCACAGTCTAGAAGAGCCCAGGAGCCATGGCGACCAAATGTGATGTATTCTGGATGAGCTCCTGTAACAGGTTGAGGGATAGAAAAGAATACTAGGTCAAAAACTAAGGAAATCTGAATAAGGTGTGGGCTTTCGTTAATTTTTAAAAACACATTAGATAAGTGAAAATGATATACTATTTATAAATAAGTTGTCTGATATTTATTTATAGAGCCTATTGACGGCCTGGCACTGTGGTAGGGCCGGGGACACAGAAAAAGATAGGTGTCCTATGCCCAAAAGCAGAGATTCATGAAAAATAAACTATGATACAAACAGAAGACTGTATTTCCTGCAGGCAGTAAGAACGGCTTAGGGCGGGTGGAATCTATTAAATGGATCAATGAGTCAATGCATGAAATGAATTGACCCGCCCAACCCAGCTCGGGAGCCCTCCCCTCCATCCTTCCAGGTCTGGCCCCACCTTATCTCCTTCCACGTCATCTGCCAGAGTTATCCAATGGAAGGTCAGCTTCGCGTAGCCCTACTGTGCGCGTGCGCATCATCGGTTCGACGATCCTTTTCATCGATGCGCTCGGAAGCAACTTCTTCAGCCTAATCACAGCCGACGTAGACGCTACCCCATTGCCTGCGCCGCCGCCATTTTGACTGCAGGAATAGTCAGGTTCTGGGACAGCTGGCGGCAGTGGTGGTGACTGGTACGGATGGTTTCCGCCCGCGTTAGCCCCTCCGACTTCGCCCTCGGTATTGCCCCTGTTCCCCCTGAGTCCCTGTCGTTGTCCCCGGTCATGCTGTCACTCTGTCTTTAGGGTCTTTTCCGCTTACTCACCCTTCAACTCAGCCGGAAGCTTTACTTGGAGCTGTTTTCTCACAGCCCTGACTCGGCGTTAAAGTACTGCTTCCACCCTCAGGACTCTGAATCCTGGCCGCCCGTCCCCCGTTCCCCGCCGGGGTCTGGTCCGAATTGTTTTTCAGCGAGCATAAGCCGGGAGGGCTCCGAGCTGCACGGCCTCGGAGGGGAAGGGGTGGGGGCGAGTTCTGGCCTCCCGAGGTTACGGAGACAGCTTGGACTTTGGTCCTCTCGTGGTGGAGGGACACGCAGAAGAAGACTGGGTCTTACCGGGGCTGTTGTTTGTTAAGAGTTCAATCTGTCACTAGCCTGTTTTGTTTTGTCCTTTCCTAGGATCAACTTTACAAAAGGAAAGCTATTTTGCGACAGTCCTCTCCGCTAGAAATGGCCAATGTGAGTAAATTAGTCCCCTAAGAATCAGTATAGTAAACAAGTTTGTGAACTTGTTAGGAAATGGAGGGACGGGTTTAATGGTGGCATTGGTGGCATAACGTTAGACTTTATCAAAAATGTCAGGGGAAGCAAGAGGTGTGAAATTATGTTATGCTTCGAAGATAGTTGGAACACAAATATTCTTGTCAATATACATGTACTTCTCCAAATTCATTTTTATAGATACAGAAATTAAGTGCGAGCATCCTTTTAGTATTTGTGAAAGACATTATTTCAGTAAATATTAGAATCTGTATTTAAGCCCTTTTTTTGAATCTCTTTGTTTAGCTAAACCGAAGGTCTTGTAGCAGTTTCGGCATAAGAAATGACCTTCGAAATCCTATAAAATGAGAACAAGAGTTATTTACACACGCCAGAGATAGTTACAGTAACTGCCCAGTGATTAGACACATCCTACCATAAAGAATTCATATAGTAGATTTAAGACACATATATGAAAACAACTACAATAAAAGTAGAAATCATTTTTTGGAAGCTACACAAAGATACAACGCAGATTCAGAGCTTTGTGAAGAGGGGTTTGAGAGAAGCATTTAACTTGAATTTTGAAAATGTGCGGTATTTTTATAATCTAAAATTTGGGTGGGTTGGAGGTATATTCAAAAAACTCCCCACCCCACTGTACCCTGTTCAAAAATTGACAAGTCATTTCTGTTTGCCTGCCTGAATGTGAGGTGTCTGAAGGAGATTAGTAGAAGGTAAGGTTAGACTGTGATGTTGGGACCAAGTAATAGAGAGCCTTGAATGCCTAACTCAGTAATTTACACTTTATTCTTTAAGTTGTGATGATTTACTCAGACCTGTGTATTAGAAAGGTTATGGCAACATTTAGCCAAGGTGGTACTCCTGTAATTAAACATGATGTATTAAGAGTCTAAAGGTGTGACTATAGAGACAAGTCTTAAGAGTAGACTATTAGACTTGGCCAAGTTTTAAGGTAAATTTTTACCTAGCCATCACCTACACAGAAAGGAAATGTTGTAAAAGAAGTTTGTAATACTCTCAAAGGAGAGAAATTCATTGAAATAGAATGCTAACATTTGACCTGGCTTTATTTTGGTTTAAATGAATAAATCAGTTCAGTAGGGTGAAGGGTTTTGGAAGATAATTTCGTAAATCCTATGTTAGAGAGCAATTCATATTAAAATAAATATTACTTTTAGTATTCAAATGTACTGTAAAAATTTTTATGTTAATTTATATGCATTGTAAATTCTGAATTGATGTTAGTAATGAAATATGCAGATAGGTATGTATGTCAAAGCAAGCTTCATAAATGTTCATGCTTCTGAGTTTAGACAGGGAAATTAAGAGGCCTTAGCAGAGACTGTGTCAAACTAAAATAATGCATTTCTGATACAAAGGGAGCAGCCTTCTCTTAGTTAGCTACAGATTTTTGTTGCCATTTGGGTATGTGAATCCACTGCTGCCAGACATGAGTTTTCAAGAAAAGCCAAAAATCTGAACCCTTTTGTGTAAATCTTGCAATTTCTCAATGTTGATATCTAATTCAAATTTCTTAAAACACTGTGGGCCACACAAAAATGTTTGTGGATGGATGTGGATGCACTTCATAGACTACCAGCTTTCAGTCTTTGGTACAGACCGTATTTTCTCCTTAACATGACCAAAAGCAGGACTTAGTTCCAAGTTCATGAAAGGCTCTTTCTCTTTTATACTAATAAGGATTTTACAATTAAATTATAACACTGTGTCCTCTTCCCAAGTCAGAATCCTCCATTTAAAGTTAATCATATGTGAAATATGTGCTTATCTTTAAACTGCCTATTATAATTTCAAGCTATTTAGTGGCTGTCACTTTTAATTTACCAACTAATCCACTGTTATAAAATCTGTCAAATTCACAAAATTTTTCACTTTCACAGTATAGGATTTGAGAATCCTATACTTAACTTTACAAAGCTAAGATTTGAAACAAATATTAGCTATCCCTTTTAGTGGGCAAATTAGTGGTTTGTTTTGCCATTAAAATGAAATTTTGTAATTGGATTTTCTTAGGCTAGGAATAAAACTCACATTTTATTATGTAACTTTTATTAAAAGTTTTACTAAAAAGAAAAAAATGTCAGAATACAATCTAGTGGCCTTGGAACTCAGGCTAAATAGTCGTTAATAATATTAGGCAATTTTTAAAATAATTTGGATAAGCTTCCTTCTGCTTTTGCTTGTGAAGCAATGTGAATGTGAATGGTCACAAATCATGTTTAAATCATACTAGGACTAGTGTTAAAAATAGTATATATTATTATGGAAATTAAGTAAAACATTTGCATGTAAAACAGCACAGGCCTGGCTCTGTAGTAGCCAACATAGATTTATTATTTACTGTTACATGCTTTTAAATGAATATTGCCTCCTCAGATAATCTCTTATTATGCCTCTTACGATTTTGAGCCTTTGCTCAAAATATTTTTGCAATTAAAAATTTTTAATTGCCTTTAAATCCTGTGGCATATCTTTTAACTATCCTTAATTGTAAAGTTAAATTTATGTTACAGAAACACCCAAAAGCCTGAGTTAGTAAGTAAAAAGCCAAATAATTACCATTTTTGTCTCTTTGGGCAGGTTGAATACAGACCCCAAGAGAAGATGCTTAAATTCTAGGTGGACAGAATGCTCTGGAGACAGGCCTTGTGCTGGCGACACATGTCACAAAGGAGATTATATGTATCCAGGTTTTAAAGAAAGAGTAGGAATTTGTCAGAATATCCTAGAAGGAGAAGGAAAAGGGTATTTTTAGCAGAAGAAATCTTGTGGCAGTATAAAAGAATGCAGAGAAATATGAAAAATGTTGGGAAGATATTTTTATCTGATTGAAGAGTAAAGTAAGGGAAGCAAGGGTGAAATTTGCAGGAAATTATGTCAGAGAGATTAGGAAGACCAGTCAGAATGTACACTTACAGTTACTGTGAGAAATAAAATTGGAAAGAACAGATGGGTTGGATTTCAGAATACTATACTATGTGAAAGAGAAATATTAGAATGATTCTGAAGTATCAAATGGCTGGACCTTTCCAACATTCTGGTAACTAGTTTTCAAACCACCTCTCTACCTCTACTCCAGTCCATTCTCTGTACTGCCCTTAGTGCTACATTCCTTAAAATGTCCCTTATTTTTGTCAGTTTACTCTGACTCATGCCTCCGGGTTAAAATTCTGACTTATTATTTTTGTAACAGGCCCTTTAATATCTGTCAAATATAAAGCCCTTTATAGTTACCCACGAGTTAACTTTCAAGCTTATTTTTTACTATACTCCTTTGTATCTACCCTCACTGAACTTGTCACTCTTTGAAATATACTTTTTTATGTCTCTGTACCTTTGTTCCTGAAAGCCACTCATTGAAATATGCCTTTGCCCGGCAAATTTCTATTTCTTCAAAACCTAACATATCCTCCATGAACCTTGTTATCTCCTCTCCCAAGGATTTCTTAACAGTTGAAATCTTTTAATAGCATTTGACAGATAATATGGTATTTTTTACATCTTTTCCAATAAGCCGAGAGTTGCCTATTTTTTTTTTAATGTAAACGTCCAGACAGTAAATATTTTAGGCTTTGTGGGCCATAGAATCTCTGTCGCAACTGCTTATTTCTGCCATTATGGTGGGAAGGCAGCCATAGCAATACATAAATGAATGGGTATGGCTATGCTATAATGAAACTTTATTTACCAAAACAGTTGGCTGTATTGAGGAATAGTTTGCTAAACCCTGTATTAAATTATTATGACCAAGTATTTTGCCAAAAGTTTATGCATGAAAGACATTTACATATTCATCTATTGTAATTGACCTCACAGTCTAGGAAACAAACATATGTGCAGAAAATGTACCGCAAAGGATAATGCTAAAATGAAGGAAAGTGGACCTTGCCATAAAACTAAGAGGAAGGAACAGCATGGGAGATAATTAGCACAATTTGTAGCAGTAAAAGAAGGGAGAAGACTTAGAAAGTGGAAAGATTTTGGTCCAAAGAGAAGCTTTGAAAGTTCTTTATTTGAGAATCGAAGAATCTTGTTAGTTGTGCTACTTTTTTAGTATTATGGCTAAGTAGGACAACTTTTAAAGGTTTCCATTTTATCATGTGTGGCACTCTTGAATTCTGGCCTTTTTTGGAAAAGACATATACTTTTATCCAAGTAAATTATTGTTTGTTTTAATATTTCTATTTTTAAAATTATAGATATGTATAGTGCTTGTCAGATAGTAGGTGTTCAATAAAAGTGGAATAAATGTTAGGTTTTTTTTTGTTTTTTTTTTTGTTTTTTTTGAGACAGAGTCTCACTGTGTTGCCTGGGCTAGAGTGCCGTGGCATCATCCTAGCTCACAGCAACCTCAAACTCCTGGGCTCAAGCGAGCCTCCTGCCTCAGCCTCCCGAGTAGCTGGGACTACAGACAAGCGCCACCATGCCCGGTTAATTTTTTCTATATATTTTTAGTTGTCCAATTAATTTCTTTCTAATTTTAGTAGAGACGGGATCTCGCTCTTGCTCAGGCTGGTCTCGAACTCCTGAGCTCAAACAATCCGCCCGCCTCGGCCTCCCAGAGAGCTAGGATTACAGGCGTGAGCCACCTCGCCCGGCGTAAATGTTAGTTTTAAGAGGACATTGCAGTGTGAAGATTTGTCAGAGATTGTATAACATTTATATCCAGAATAAATAATTTTAATTTTTGTGTCCTCCTTAGGTGCTTTGTAACAGAGCCAGACTGGTTTCCTATCTCCCAGGGTTTTGCTCTTTAGTTAAAAGGGTTGTCAATCCCAAAGCCTTTTCAACTGCAGGATCATCAGGTTCCGATGAGTCTCATGTGGCCACTGCACCTCCAGATATATGTAAGTGAAAGTTGTTATTGTTCTACTTATAATTGTTTCAAAACATTTTGAGTTGTATTTCCTCTTGAGATTTTACAGATTTTCTAAAGTTGTATTTATTCCATTGAAAATAAATGTATGACTGAATATTTGTATCAGAAAGCTATAGCATAAAAAAGAATAAATACTGATTTCTAAAGCTTATTTTCTTAAACATCAGTTCCTTTCGATCTTAGAACACATACATTCCTTCCTGAAACGAATCTGTTTGTGATCCTGTTAACTCATGTTATTACTTTTTGCCATTCTTTGCTAAATTTCATAAATGTAGATGGCACTTTTTTTGTGTTTATTAAATCAATAATTTACCTGCTACCTACTAAGTCTACTTTTTTTAATCCATTTTGTACACTGTTATGGTAATTCTAAAATATTTTAATCATGTCACTTTTTTTCTTTTCTTTTTTTCTTTCTTTTTTTTTTGTTTTTTTTAGAGGCAGAGTCTCACTCTGTCACCCAGGCTGGAGTGCAATGGCCTGATCATAGCTTACTGCAGCCTTGGACTCTTGGGCTCAAGAGAAATTCCTGCCTCAGCTTCCCAAGTAGCTGGGACTCCGAGCACGTACCACCATGCCTAGCTAATTTTTCTTATTTTTTTGTAGAGACAGGGTCTTGCTGTACCCAGGCTGGTCTCCAAACTCCTGGCCTAGAGCTATCCCCCCGCTTGTCGACCTAAAGTGCTGGGATTATAGGTGTGAGCCACCACACCCAGCTTCTTGTCACTTTCTTGATAAACCTTGATTATCAGTCATTACTTTCAGCACCAGTTCCCCTGCTGTCCTCAAGCTATGAATCATTATTTAAGGTTATGAAAAAAGAGGGGAGGATTTTGTGGTTAGGTCAGTTTAAGAAATCCTAAGTGCCATATTCCTATATTGGCGGTTTCTGATGCACACTAACATATTAAGGCTCTTAGAAACTAATGTGGCCTAAAGATACTGCGCATGGAATCCTTTTTTCATGGAACACATCACTTACAATGTAGTTTAAGTTCACTTGGGCATTCAGAGCTTTCCATCCTGCCCCAGTTTTCTTTTATAACTCTATATTTGACTTCTCCACAATTTACATCACCTGAAGACTAACCATATATGTATCATAAATGAAAGATTTGTCATTCAGATTATGTTAGGGGATAGTATCCTGAGTGTATAAAGAATTTTTGTAGATCAATAGGAAAAAAACAACCCAGTGGAAAATCAAAAAACAAAAGGATATGGATAGGCCTTTAACAGAATAGAAAAACCTAAATGACCAGTAAATGTATGAAAGTATTCTCAAATCCACTGTGAATATGGGATACATGTTTTCTCTAAAGAGAACTAGAGACTGTTAGACCTGAATAGTCTTTAAAAATTGTCTTGTTCAAAAATAGCTAACAGTTTTTATCTTGGGAACTGCCTCCAGTCAGTCATTAGTGGCTAAATAGAAGAGTCTTAGTACTCAACATGATCTGCATCAGTATCGTTTTGGAGCTTGTTAGAAACACAGAATCTTGAGCCCAACTCCAGACCTATTAAATCAGAATCTGCTTTTTAACAAGATCCCAGATGAATCTTAAGAACCTTAAAGTTTGAGAAACATTGGACTGGAGTGTTTATGTTGAGAATCTTGAGACAGTGTCTGGGTTTGGCAGGAAAGAGTTTCATGATTGATCAATGATGTATGTCATAAGTGTGGAAGAGGGTTATGATGGCTCTGATGATCTAGTAATGAGGCAGCCATATCGACATGACCATTTTCAGTCATTCAGTCCCGGCAGGATATTTAAAATACATATATATTTTTTGCTATGTAATCTGCACAGCAGTTGTCCCTCCCTTTCTGTAAATGTAAATTTCTACTCTGAGTCATTATTAGTTTAATTTTCTATTTTGTTCTTTTCTGGATCTTTTTAAATTTTTTAAGTTAGGATATTTTTTAGTTTTAAGTGAATAAAGTAACATGATCTCTTCTGCTGTATTTGTTATCTATATTAACTCATGTGGCTGGTAAACCAAGCATTATGTCACATAATGCACAATTTTATCCCAGCCTATTAATGTTGTGCCACCAAGTAACAGCAGCTGAATGCCTCTCCCCAAAGATAATGACTATTAAGTTTAGTGTCTTTCCTTTTAGATTTTTTTGTCTTTATTTAAAAACATGAATATTAGGGTGTAAAATAAATGTTATCATATATGCTATACTTTGACTTAGCTTTTTCTTTTAATGCAGTATATCCTGGACTTCATTCCATGTCAGTACATTAAAGGTTTATTGTCTTCTGTTTAATGACTACCAAGTAATTCGTGGTATGGATGAGCGTACTTTATTGAATCTTTCCCCTAATAATGGACTTGCCTGTCATCTGACAACTGGTTGCTTTGATTAGTGTTTTGGAAACAATATGAAACTAACTAACTTATATTCACATAGGAAAGCAGATTTCAAAGACCCATCTTTTAGATTAAAAAAATATATACAATTGCAAGAACATTCTTTCAGTCTGCTAGTGAAGTTGATTGTTAAGGATAAAATGATTTATTTGGTTGTTCCTCTTGAGGCTCTCGAACAGTGTGGCCTGATGAAACTATGGGACCATTTGGACCTCAGGATCAGAGATTCCAGCTTCCAGGAAACATGGGTTTTGATTGTCACCTCAATGGGACTGCTTCACAGAAGAAAAGCCTGATTCATAAAACTTTGCCTGATGTTCTAGCAGAACCTTTGTCAAGTGAAAGACATGAGTTTGTTATGGCACAGTATGTGAATGAATTTCAGGTAAATTGTTAATGTCATTTATTATGTTTTTCTAATCATTAATGTTACATTACTTTTTGATGACTGTGAGCATATTACTTTCATTGAAAAAAAAAAATCAACTAAATTCCAATACATGTTTATACAAAACAGTATATATAGCTTTTAAAAACTTGGCATCGTCCTGTACATAGTGTTTGCTGTATAATTTTTTACTTAATTTTAGATTGTAATCTCTTTTAGATAATTAAAAATTGTTTTTAAAAATGTTTTTAATAACTACTTATTCCAGATACAGATAATTTAATTTTTTCTATGTTACTGGTAGTAATTAGCTTGCCTATTTTTCACTTTTATAAATGGCAATTATAATTTGTATCTGGATCTAATTCCAACCAGCTTTATACTTCTCCAGCCATTTTAAAGCTTAAGAAAATTTTGAGATTTCTCAAATTGTTCAGATATAGTAAACAAAAAGGGACTATTTAAAAAATAGTTTTTTTAAGAAAGGCAATTTCTAAGGGTTTTTGGGTTTTTTGTGGGTGTTTTCTTTTTTTTTCATTTTTATTTGAGCCTTTTAAACTGGCATTGTGTCATTGCTCATGTAAGTGGAAAGCTACATGCAATTCAGGATTTCTGTCGAACCTTTGATGCTTATCATTTTTCACATTTCTGCATAGTTATTAGGGTGAGTTTTTGATCAAAGCCATATTATTAGAAGCAGCCATCCCTCACGATTATGAGCTATATCAGATGACCCGACATTGGGACATAGTTGACCTCCCCGATCTTTTTATCTCAGGTAATTCCTTCTTAGTCTTCTTGGCTCCTTGTTCCTCCTCAGCCAACCAATTAAATTATTATATTTCCCGTAGGTTTCTGTCCTTCAGCTTCTCATTTGAGTTACTCCTTGGTCAGTTAATCTCTTGGCTTCCTCCACAAGGCCATTTCTTTTATAATTCCTAACTTAATATTTCTGTTTCTAACATTTCTGGCTCTGTATTCCTATTTGCCTAGTGAGCCATCTTTATTTGGATATCTTATAAGTCCCCAGATGTGTGTCTAGTACTAAAGTAGTCCTTTTTTCTCTCAAAACCTGTCCTCACTCCCATATTGTAGCCAGTAGTATAAAAGGCATAATCATCCTGCCTTTTTCCCAAGATAAAAATTATAGTACCAACCTTGAGTCCTCACCTTGTCTCCTGCTACTTCCTCCTCCCTCTGCACTCCAACCACAGTGTACTTGCCATTTTTCTTAAATACAATATTCTGTGCCATTGCACTATTGTTATCTCTGGCTAGACTATTTTTCCTCCTGAATTCCTAGCCTGCATATCATCTGTTCTTTACCTGTCAGACACACATATTAATTAACGTGTAGCTCAGATATGACCATTTCAGTCTTTTAATGATTCCTTCTAGCAAAGCAAGTTTCTTCCTCACCTGTGCCCCCAGAAGACTTTAGCACTTTTCATATTGAATTGCATTTCTTTCTTGATGTTTATTTTTGTTCCACTAGGGCTGATATACCTGAGAATGAAGACTGTACTTTTTACCGTTATAGTGCCTGGATATATAGTAGGCTCTTAGTAAATTTCAGTTGAATAAAAACATCAAGCCCTTCCTGTAGGACAGGCTTGTACTATTAATATTTAATTATGTTATTAGTGTTATTCCCATTTTATAGAAGAAAATTCAATATCACAAAATAGAAGTGGTAACATTGTAAGACACATAACATTTCAGTTTCTTAGCCAATTTTTGTTTATATCAAGTCTTAGAAATATCAGTGTATTTATAGATTCATGTTCTGTTTTATTCAAAATTTTTGTAGAAGTTTCAAATCTTATATTCATTATAGAAAAAAATTTCAATATATAGGAAAATATTATTACCTTACTCACCAGTTAGATTATAACTACTTGTAAAAAACTTTCAAAGGAAGACAAGTTTATAACAGGCAAGATATCATTTTATTTGAACTCCAGATTTTGTTTACTTCCATGCTTGTTCCCCTCAGGGTAACGATGCACCTGCTGAACAAGAAATTAACAGTGCAGAAACTTACTTTGAAAGTGCCAGAGTAGAGTGTGCAATCCAAACATGTCCAGAATTGCTGCGAAGAGGTATGTCATACTTTATACTTTAAAACACTAATATGTATTAGATAATGATACTAATTTTTATTAATTTGAATAATGTACTCTATAGGAATTGTAATGCTTAGTGCCTTAATATTTTAATGTTTCTGGCTGGAAATGATCATATGGTCAAAATAAAGGCTTTCAGTTATCCCCTGACATTTGACCTCATGGCCATGCTTCCTATCTAGGAAGAGTAAAATTTTCAATAACTTTTTCACTAAAGCTTAATTGAAGTCATTTCTGTTCCTGGTGATTATTAATAGCTGTAATTTCATGAGTAAATATATAATACTGAGAAAAATCTTAGTAATCATTTTTTAAAATTTAACACCAATAATATGTAACTTTACCCTTCAGAATTGTTGGCAGTGATATTTCAGTTCAGCCAACAAAAGCAGAAGTAAACAAAACTGAGTTCATTTTACCCTTTTCAAAAATAATATGCATTTATAAAAATAGAGCACAATAACATAATCATCATTTTTCTAAAGAAGTATTTTTTGCACTGTCTCTTTCTTTAAAAAGGAAATTCTTTCTTCCTGGAATTTTTGTTCTTATTTTATTTGTAGATTTCGAATCACTATTTCCAGAAGTAGCTAATAGCAAACTAATGATTCTGACTGTAACACAGAAAACTAAGAATGATATGACTGTTTGGAGTGAAGAGGTAGAAACTGAAAGAGAAATGCTCTTAGAAAAGGTAATTTTTTCAGCTGCTAACAGTTTAATTTTGTGGTGTTATTTAAATACCAGTGAACCAATATTTTAGCATGGTAAGTGTCTTTTCCAGCCTTTATTCATTCTCTGCTAAAATATTTCAGTACTAAAGGACTTACCTCTTTTTTAAGAATAAAATGCCCTTTTTTTTTTCAGTATCTGTATAAAATGTAGACCCTGTCCGGTATCTTCCTCGATTTAAAAAATGCATATATATGTATATGTCTGTTTTAGGAAATTTGTAAAATAAGGTAAAAAACAACAAAAAAGTAAAATTAACTCTTCATGCCCCTTTCTTTCCCTCTTCACCTCCCCCAGCCTCTCCCCTTACTCATACCTATATCCCTACCTCCGTTTTCTCTTTCCCTCCCCTCTCCCTCCATCTCCTTTGTCCCCCTCTTAAACCATGTCAAGTAAAAAGTAACAATTATGCCAACCCTCTCCAAGAAGTAAACAGTAACATACAATAATAGCATAATGCTGTATATCCATATTTTTTTCTTTCCTTTGCTTTTAACCTACAAATATGTTTTCAGACTTTTCCATACTATTACACATAGGTATATTTAATTCTTTGTAAAATCTGCATAGTATATTACATGGGTAAGCCATAAATTTTTATAATCATTTAAATATTGTCCTAGTAATTTATAAGTTGAAAATCCAAGTTTTGCAATTATAGGCAACACAGTAGTGACAATCTTTGTTCATATACACTAGTGTATGTTTTATACACATCAGTATCTATAGATTCCTAAATTGAGAATTGCTGAATCAAGGGGTATGCACATTTAAATTGTGATAGACATTTTCAATTGCTGACCAAAAAAGATCTGTCCTGTATGCTGTCACTCTAGCTTACCCTGGATAGTAGCATTTCTTTTCAACTCAAGTTAGTTAAGGTGCCCAACTTGCATACCTTAGCCAACATGAGTAGAAAAAATCCCCTTTACTGATATCTATGCAAGATAATGTTAGCAATTATTTTATATTTTCTTTAGGGTTGGATATATGGGTTTTTTAATTTATAAAAATATATTGAAATTTACATACTCAGTATTTTATGATAACTTCATATTTAAATGTCCCACACATAGCTTTGCTAATAGATTTCATGTAGTATTTCATAATCATGAGCATATTAGTTATATTCTAATTAACAAGGAAGTTTCAGAAAGGCATAAAACACTCTCTGATTTTAACTCCTTAAATCCTCTGAATTTAAAGTTGGAATAGGCAATAGCAATAAAAATTTTATATAATATTTATGTATTAAAATAATGCTTAGTAAATTTAGATTTATCACTGTCATTGAGTTGCTAGAGAACTCTCACATGTGCATTGTATTTGTGGTCCTAATTTTTGATCAGTTAAATCTGTGGTCCCCAACCCCAGGCTGTGGACTGGTACCAGGCCTGCACTCTGCCTCACTTGGGGGGGGGGGGGTGTGCTAGAGAAGGAAGCTTCAGCTTTGCTGCTCCCCAGCTCCCCCGGCTCACATCACTGCCTAAGCTCCACCCCACCCCCCATGGAAAAATTGTCTTCCGTGAAACCAGTTCCTGGTGCCAAAAAGGTTGGGGACAGCTGAGTTAAATATTTGAGCCTAATTTGATACTGACTCCAGTATAGTTCTAAGTCAGTTTTCTATAACCCACTTTAGGACTTTGAAATAGCAACATGCTTCATCTTGATTTTTAATTTTATAATGGCTGAAACTATTTTATTTTGTACGAAAAAAGAGATTTTTTTTTAAATTTTAAGATTTGTTAGTGAAAATTTTCCAAGTAGATATTTTATGCTTTATAGTGTAAGTCTATTCTAATTTTTTCCAGCAGATGTCAGTGTTTGCTGTTGATGAACAGAAATCTTAAGAAAAATACTTAAGCTGATTCTTTTTGTCGTACTTTGGAATTCTTTCAGTTAATCTTGTATTTTAAATTATTAAAATTAAATATATTTTAATGACTATTCTGTAAACCTTATTGAGTTTTCATATTTTAAGAATATGAGAATTAATAAAATATAACAATAAACATAAATATGTAGGTTATCCTAAAGAATACAATATTATCTTAGTAGTTGTTGTTAGTTTACCAGAGGTATTAGGAGAAAATAAGTTACCTTAGGTGGTGTATCTGTATAGCAGAAATCAGCAAATTTTTTCTTTAAAAGGGGTCAAAAGACAACAGATTTAAAGATCTAATTGATTTTTATTTGCAATTCTAGAAGTGGGCAATACCTCATTCTATAAAGTAGAAGGAGCATTAAGAAAAGCTGAGGAGAGGGAGGTTGGCATAGACAGAAAAGAGCTGAAGAAAGCAGGAACAGGGAATAAGAAGGGGATTGTCCTTTTCAAAATTGCTTTCTTTATAGGGTTGAAACAGAGCAAGCTTTCTTATGCTGGCTCAGGTAAACTAGGCTTATTCTGATTGGTTGCTGTAAATCTCCTGGATTTTAACTGGCCTTTTTCAGGGTTCAGTTTGATTACGTGGCACCTAGCATGAGTGACACCGTTTTGGTTTGTTCTCGTCTGCTGGGACCTACTGCACAAGCCTAGTCTAAAACAGTGGCCTCCCATACACTTTTTTTTAACAAGGGCCAAATAGTAAATATTTTAGGTCTACAAAGCCATAGAATCTCAACTACCCAACTTTACCCTTGTATTGTTAAAGCAACCATAGGCAATGTGTAAGTAAATGGGCATAGCTGGATTTAGCCTGTGGGCTGTAGCTTGCTAACCTCTGAATTAGGATATGGCCTTGATTCCTAAGGCTTAGACTTCTGGGGATCTCAGATGAATGCCAGAGGGTACTCAGTGAGGTCTCTTCATTCTGAGTGGGTAAGAAATCCATGTGTCCCAGCACTGCATGACACCTGGTATTCCTGACTCACAGCTGGTAGGCTTGGAATCTTGCCTGATGAGTACACAGCTCAGCCCTGGGCTAAGGAACCAGGGTGAATTGCTCTGCAGACTACTCAGGAGTCCTCTTTGTGCATCTCCCTCTTTTCCAGTACCCTGCCCTACAAATTCCAGGGACTTCAGCAGCCTGGAACTCTTGCTTTCTACCTCCTCAGCTCAGTAACATCACCTTGCTTGGGCTCCACTTCTTTGCCCTGTGGCAAAGTGTCCCCAGACAGAAAACTGGAGCAAATATGGGGATTACTTCATTTGTTTCCCTTCTCTCAAAGATTGCAGTCTTGTTTGTTGTTCAGGGTCTAAAAATAGTTGCCTCATATTAATATATTTTGATATATAAGGTGACTATTTTTATAGTTTTAAAGTTTATAAAACTATAGTTTTATACTTTTCCAGGACGATGATGAGCTCAGTACGTATTACTCTATTATTACTATAAGCGGAACTGTGCCCTTGTTTTTAAACATTTGTGATCTGTTCTTTTTTTTCAGCGTTATAATCTGGTCTTAATATTTGTTACCATCTTTTCACTAGACTTCTGATAAAGCTAATAAAGACATCATAGAAATTAGGATGGTAAGACCAAAAATTTGACACATGCATGTAGTATATAGTAATTATACACTATACAAAAAATTTGAGTATGTAATGAAAAATAAGTACCCTATTTAACCCCGTAGACCATCTATCCAGTTCTATTATTATTATGTGCCTTTTCAGAAATATTTCATGGCTTTGTGAGTGAATAGATGT